GAATATTAATATCCCAGCAAATAAAATTATGTCAGTACTATTTCATTTCAGAGATCATTAAAACCACTTCGAACTTAACTTGAATTTTTTTTTTTACTGAAAACATCCCACAATAGCAGATGTAAATAAATTTTACTTAGAAAATATTCATACTTTATTCTTTACAGCTTCAATGAATATACTTTATTTCATTCTTTGTACAGACTGCATTAAATTTTACAGCAAAAATTGTGGAATGACATAGTACAATTTGTCCGTTCTCTCAAAACTTCAATGAGCCCAACTGCTGAATTAGTTCTGTCTCATCAATTACCTTCTCCTGAAACATATAAACATGAGAACTTGAAGTATCTGTATGTACTGACATATTTGGCTGAAATTATCACTGAGTTACTACAACTATTTCTTTAACCAAGTGTTCAATTAATATAAAAACTGCCTTAATGTAAAATATGTATTTATTCAACTTTAAAAATCAAATCTAGCTTATAGAATAAAAAAAATATTACATTTATCATTATCTAAAACTGTTATTTTAGATGTGAAAGTCAAATAAATAATATGCTTACTATACTGACATAATCTGATGTTTTAGCCACTGCCCTGAGGACAAGTCAATTGAAGCAACTCATGAAAATCAGTACTTTTCATAAATATTATTGAAAACTCTAATGGAGCCTTTGGAATTTGAAAAGTTTTGGGATTCTTGAGCTGGTTCTTTTTCTACTGATCAAAAGAATGCTTAAGCACTGTCATTACTTTATGAAATAACATAAGATGTAACCGTTTTCTGTCAATCATGCCCATGAACTTAGCATTGAAGTTCTAAACTTTATCATAGAGGTTATGAAATGTGTATCCTATATTTGAACTAATTTTGTTTCCACATGTTAAGGTTATAATGCATTACTTATTAGTGATTAACACTAATTATTCACCCATTGTTTAAAAAAATTAAATTCTGCTCTTCATGTAGAAGTGTTTGAGAATATTCAAATAAAGTTTTACATTCTGTTACTTCAGTAAAACAAAGAATCAAACTGTTGCCAAAATACAAACATATGTGCAGTGCTTGAAACAACATTATTTGACTGCTTGTTTTGGAACTTTGCACAAAGTAACTGCAAACAGCCATCCCTAATTTTGAACTGTCTGATTAGAAGAAAGGCAGCTAGTCAACAATACCTAACAATAACTCTTGGGCTGCTCTTGTCTGATCAGATAGTTGGATTTAATTGTCTATCTTATAGTGCATTCATTGCCCTAAAATGCAGAGTGCATTTTGTGGCATTGAGCACATTAACCACTACACCATGCCCAGCTCCGTCATATCATATAGGTCTTAACTTACTTCTAGTAGTTTGAGTTTGATAGCATCCAAACTAGATTACAACAACAATAAAATTAGTTTAAATAGTGAAAAGTCAAAGCACATCTCTACTTTCTGGATATAATAATTTCCATAATAAATATACTTGATCTAAAATGTCCTAGATCTAAACTTCAAAAAGTATTTTTTAATACTGCCAAATGTGTTTCTAAATAACTTCACCTACAATATAAAATCAACATTATGAATTCCTACTTTAACAAATCAGGAATTAGTACATTATATTAAAACAATTCTGAAAGTGTCAATCAGTAAGTTACATGACAACCAGAGCTAATATACAGTTGTGGTGGTACAACATGTATTAGAACTGCATCTAGACATTGTTTGGTATTTCACAGGTAGAATGATACCAAAAATCAATCGCTTTTAGGAAGAAAATGTAACAGCCCTTTTTGATATAAAACATTCATAACATTGCATCATAAAGATGAATTCAGACTGGGGAGTTAGAATTTATGAGATGGGGCTATCCCTTGTACTTAATGGCATTGGAAAACAAAGGAATATGGATCAACTTGGGGACACCAAGACCATCTAGAAAGATACCTGCAATAAGTCATACTTCAACATTGATAAGCAAAGGTGGCATCTTGTAACAGGGTGTGGATTTCCAGTCATACTTCTCATTCAACCATCACATATTTCAAACAGCTGGAGAATGAAACAGAGTATTTATGCTATTCCCCATGAAGACATACAGATGAAGTCACAGGATGTGCAGTGTCTATGTGCAATCAGACTGTTGAAACAGGCACTATGAAAATGCTATCCTCATACACTAAATGGATTATGGAAAACATACAGGGAGAAGTGGTGTGCTTTGGACATGAAAGCATTTTGGTAGATCTATTTAGTAATGGAAACTATGCTGCAGGACCACTGTCAAGATGCAGTTATCAGAGATAGCATGATTGGACATGGCAAATTGGACTGTAATGATGTGATGAGGCCCCAAAATTATTTTAATATATCAACCCCCCTCTCTCTCTAAAGGTCCTGAAAAAGATGCTAAAAATTAATTTGATAGAAGGGCTAAACAGCTAATAAAAGTGTGGCTTTTCTCACCATTTATGTTGAAATAATTACTTCATGATGGAGAACAAAGTTAAACAAACACCAGATATATGTTACAAGAATTTAAATAATTTTTAACTGGAACAAGAGCTTTTGTTTATGAATGGCTTGTTTTGTTTGTTTGTTTTGAATTTCACGCAAAGCTACACAAGGGCTATCTGCACTAGCCGTCCCTAATTTAGCAGTGTAAGACCAGAGGGAAGGCAGCTAGTCATCACCACCCACCGCCACCTCTTGGGCTACTCTTTTACCAACGAATAGTGGGATTGACCATCACATTATAACGCCCCCACAGCTGAAAGGGCGAGCATGTTTGGTGTGACGGGGATTCGAACCCGCGACCCTCAGATTGCGAGTCGAGCACCCTAACCACCTGGCCTTATGAATGGCACTATTCTATACTAACACATCTGAAAATATCCAGACAACACTTAGAAAAAATGATTCTATACTATTTTTTTCTTACACATAAATTACTGAGTTTAACTCACAGACATTTAACTAATTGATCCAATACTATGTTGGCACAGCTGAATTACATATTTTCCAGATATGCATGTGAAACATTATGTAAAATGCAATTTCTCCACTATTTGAAACCTGTATTAAAATTAATACTAAACAATTGACAAAATATATTATTTAGCTGTAAATGTTAAAACGTCAAGGATGTAAATTAGACTACTACCAAAAAACTGGTTCTCAGGAAAATGTATTACCACACCAATATTTTAATGTATTAATATAGTAATCAACAGTTTCGTTTGCTTGTTTTTATAATTTTTACACAAAGCTCTGCAAAGGTTACCTGCACATATCTATCCCTAATTTTAGGCTAACAGATTAAAAGGAAGACACACAGTTACCAGCACCCACCATCCAACTCTTGGGCTGCTCTTGTTTGAACAACTATTAAAATTGGACTGTCACTCTTATAATGTACAAACAGATCCAGTGTGATTTTGAAGCAAAAGGACATGATAACCATGAACCCTCGGATACCCAGTCTAAAAATCGTTATCCATAGGCCACTTCCAGCCCAAACAAATGTTTAAATAACTAGAATTTTCAGAATGCACTGCATTTATTTATGATAAATTTTTTCTCAATCACATTCTAACAAATCCACTTTAATAAAAACTTTTATACAAAATGAATTTTGTTTCCAAAGAAAAAAAATCACACTAAAGAGACACACGAGTAAATCCAGAAATTATAAACCATTTTACCAAACACCTCTAACGTTTATGTTTCTTAAATTACATTGTAAGATTTTTAAAATGAGATTATCAGAGATAAGATAGAGATGAATGGTCTACTGATGTTCTTCTTTTATTTTTTTTCCTCTTCTTTAACTATTTTTATTGTATTTAGAAGATTAAATATTACAACAAAATGTTACTTTCTGTTGAAAAGCCATTACAAAGGTATATGTGTAGCATTTCTAACAGATACATTGAATAAGGACACTAATCAAAAAATATAAAAGGCTTATTCCCTTTGTCACTCTGTTGAGAATGCTTTCATGCTCCTTTTTTAATAATGTCATCACTTAGCAACAAAACTATCACTTGATTGTTCTTAGGCCAACTATGGTGTTTATGTTGAATGCTCAATATTCATGCTGATTTGGTGGAAAGGTTTTTTTTTTATATTATTTTATGATAACTTCAGTGATATAACAGTAAAATAGTTTAGTACAGAAGTTTTATGACACTGAGTTGTAGCCAAAACCAAAATAAAATTTAGCAAGTTCTATTTCAGCTAAGCCTTACGTTACATTTATATATTAAATTAGACTATAAATAGGCCTACTATTACTAACTTTATGGAGTCAGTGTTTAAAATGTTTTAAGTGGTGAATAAATGTTAATTAATAAATATTCTATTGGTATTTTAACACATATGTTACCTATTTGGCCTTGAAACATAAAGAAAAATAAACACTTATTAGTAACAAATATCTTTTATCGTTTGTACAGTCGAAAGAGTTGAAAATTTGTGTGAGAATGTCCGCACTATGTTCTCTACTTCCTGACCTAGAATACAAAAAAAGGCTCAAGACTACGATTTAAATCTCTTTCAGAGTGCGTACTTATTTTTGTTCATGATAACTTTTCATTTTTCTGTGTAGTTTTTACTAAAAATGAGGTGATTAAAGAATTATTTTGAGACTGATGAAGTAAGAGAAGAGTAAGTTCATTTTGGAGTAGGTTCCATAATTTTCATTAATCATTCAACAATGGTTTCCCATCATTTTTTGATGGGCTTTTATACTAGATTTCACATAATCAGTCTGACACCAGAGGACACACGCATTTGTCTCGACAAGTATCCTTGTCAAGTCTTTGACAGTATATAGTTTCTTCCAAAAGTATGGCTTTCTCTAACTTTTAAGTGTGATATTGTGTTCTTCTGTACTACTACGATTACTGAACGTTTCATGAAATTACTTTACTTAAACTTTTACCCTGCCGTTTTGTTGTTATCTATCCTTTGTTTCTAATTTGGAAATCATAATAATAATACTGACCTTGTCTGAATTATAGAAAATGTTATTTGTCTGATTTTCTTTAAAATATTCTAAATTTTCTTGAATAGTTTTATTTTCATCATCTTCATCTGTTTCTTCCTCCTCTTCATCTTCTTCATCCTCATCCTCATCACTATCAGAACCTTCATCATCACTGAACAAGCAAATAACTATATAAATATCAACTGAAAATCACCATTTACATTTATTTTCTCAAACACAAGCAAAAGTAAAATGGTAATGAGGTCATTCATATATATTATTTTTCTTCAAGTGTTTCCATAAGTTAGGGGTTGTGATTCAAAGAAAAACAAACCTTAACCTTGTATTTTTGAACCATTACACAAACAAGCCAAATATGCCAAGCTAGTCATCTTCAGTATAAAAAGCTAGGTATTTCATTTGAAAAAGGAAAAGTTTTATTTTAAGTGTTATAAAACTATAATGATGGCCATATGTTGTAAAATCAGATTCATATTAAAGTTTCTTAACTGTATACAAAACTTTTAACTAATCCACCAAGATTATCTTGAATATTTTATATTATATGAGATTGGTAAATTTAGGTATTCAGATAACATATACATAATGTTAACGATAGCATTTTTTAAGTTTATACAGCTCATGGTTAAAAAGCTATATACTACATGGGATGAACAAGTAACACACACAATAAGTTTTCTCCAGATTAAAAATATAATTAATAAGTTTTCAACAATGGTCATGATCTCAAGATTGAAAGCTTGTAAATAAAGCTTTGAACATGGAAAACTAATTATGTGTGTGTTACGTATGAATTTTGACCTGGTTTTTCAAGAGAATATATCGAGAATACACGTGATTAAGTTCGGACAGATTTCCTCCACAAAACTGCAAATACAGAGAAAATGATTGTGTTATAGGTTAATTACTTGTGATTATATCAAGGTTTTTGAAAGAGGATATTCCAAGAATACATATGACAAAGCTGAGGCACATATCCTACAAATTTATCCACAGAAACTGCAAACAATATATCATTATTAACCCTTTTCTGGACTGGATGGGTGTCACTGATATCCAGTAATTTTTTTTCAGCAGAAATAATTAACCACACTGCACAAAACTTAGCAAATTATATATAGCTTTGGCTTTCAAAAATTCATATAATTTGATTTAGTATTTCAATCAGTGTAGGTTGTGAAACATCCAAAAGTTATTGTGCGACACTGTTTTGAAAAACATTAAAAATACTTCCTTTCATCTTAGAGTTTCAATTTTATTGATATTCTCTAACATACTTCTTTTGATATTTTATTTTGATGATTACAGTAATCATAATTCCCAGTAATAAATCATAAAAAAAGCTAAAAACTAAAAAAGGTTGTTCCAGTGACCTATGACCTGGCTTTTCAAAATGCATTGCCATTATCTCTGTCAAGCTAGATATTATGATTTTTGCTGACAATATTCTTGGTTGACATAAATTTATGTCTACTAAATATAGTTTATTTTCAATAAATAAAAGATATTATATTTAAGTCTATTGTTTGAATTCAATAAATGTAAGAATATTCAATAAGTAAGAACTTTGAGTCATCAGAGTATTTTGACATCACTTATCACACAAAGTAAATGTAACCAAGCTTATCTGATGTCTTATCACAGAAAATTTTTGTAACTTTCAAATAACTAAAATTTGATACAGTGTTCCTTGACAAGTGCAATCATTCTATTGCTACAATTGGTGCCCTCCAAAGCTATGAAGTTGCCAGTCAGAATGTAATTTCAATTGACATCAACAATGCTATGTATATGATAACTGCCAACAACTTAGCTCTCAATGTTCTTTCCTTGACAAGTGCAATCATTCTATTGCTACAATTGGTGCCCTCCAAAGCTATGAAGTTGCCAGTCAGAATGTAATTTCAATTGACATCAACAATGCTATGTATATGATAACTGCCTACAACTTAGCTCTCAATGTTCTTTCCAAATTCTGTCCACATTACTTGCCTTTCACACATAATGAATCTCATGGGAAAACCTCTTAGAAAACCATTTGAGGAACTAATAAGTTTGAGGATCTTCTTACAAATTGCTACATGCCAGGTGTAAAAAAAAGAGTGTATTTAAGTTATCTTACACCTGAGAAACCATGGCTCCAAATCAATGGAAGTACAGGGTACAATTCCTGGTACATAGCAGTAGCCAATCATGCAGAGCACTTTGCTTTATACAAAGCAATGGAGGAGTGTAAGCACATCCCTCATAACTCTCTCGACATCAAATGACAGAGGATAAGATACTTTGCCAATACTGCAATTATATTTGAACATTTCAACACACTATAGTTCTTCTGAAGCTTAGAAATCTGTTTGAAAGCAACAGGCCTATGACAATGAAAGTTTTAAACCACCTTGAAAACTTACAAATAAGTTTTGCTGCAAACAAAGTTCTAAAGCTAGAAACACGTTCCTTATTTTTCTAAGACTTTGGTGAATGGTCTTTATCAGAAAAGAAACATTAGCAATATTTAAGCAAGCTTACCTGTTAGCTGAAAAGAAACTCTCTAAGTACATAGATGATGCACAACCAGCAATATATTTTTTAAAAGAGGGTTGGATTTTCAACAATTCACATCTAGTTCTTTTTCAGAGGATAGGCCAGAACCCTCTTCCCATGGTTCACATACATGTACCAGACAAAGAGCTTCACTTGTACTTTTTACCAAGCAGGCCCAAATTCTGTCAAGTCCTCTGTTTGTGACTGACACTGTTCTCTCTTGGGAGAGCATGCAGTTACCACAACCTGTGCTTGCCAAACTGACCAAAACATACAAGCAATGTGTGACCAATTCTGCTAATGTGGAAAGAAACAACACCATCTAAAAACTGGTGCTGTCAGCAAGGAGTTACTTGCTGTCTGAATCAAACATCAAAGCCTTGGTATTTCGATATTACAATCAAAGTGTACAGTGCAGTCTCAATGAGACATCTGATAGCAATTCAGAAGCAAAAAACAAGGTAAACAAAAGATAAGGCAAAAATACAAAAGCAAGAAACACATTGATATTGCAAAGAATTAACACTTGCTCATTTTTACTTTCTGTGCAGACTGTTTTTATTTTATTATTATTATTGTTTTAACTTAAAAGTATTGATTGTTTTCTCGTTTATTTAACACATTTATTTTGCACCATGAACTACATTTGTTTGCTGATTAAACTGAACTGTAAAATTGTATGTTTTTTCCTTCTTTCATTGCCATAAAATATAGCAGAATAGCAAGTGTATTCAGTTTTTAATATTTTAGTAACGTGATTTAACTAAATGTGACTTAGTTTTACGTATTAATTAATACCCATTAACACTGTTTTTTTATTAAAAAGTCAATGCTGCAGAATTTTTCAGAAAGTGCACTTTTCACAGAATTTAGGAAATTTTATCTCAGATTTCTGAGGGGAATAGTTCCCCTCAGATCTAATCCCATGCATTGGGATGGGCAAAAATAAAAAACATTTAAAAATTATTCTTTGTGATTTACAGTATTAAAAGACTTAATACTGATTTTGAAGGCCATTTGCTGATATAAATATGTTGGAGAAAACACTTTCCTATGTTATGTAAATTTCTCAATGCTATACAATAACAACATTAAACTAAATATACAAAAAATTTTCATATCATTCTCACCTTAACGATCCAAGTTTTTCTAGTTTCCCTACAGCTTCCATCACTCTTTCAATCATTTCACAACCCTCATTACCAAAATGGTTTCCTGAATCAGAATATCTCAGTTTTATTTTTTTATCTGTCCAATTTTTAATAGTTTTAACAATAACAATATTATATAAAGACAAAACTAAAAAAAAAATTTGTTTGTTATTAAGCACAAAGTTACATAATGGGAATATCTGTGCTGTGCCCACCAGAGGTATCAAAACCCAATTTTTAGAGTTATAACCCTCAGATTTACTGCTGAGTAAAGTCTTCAAAAAGAGTGTTTGGATAATTTTGTCTGCACCATTTTATATCTATCCATCCAAATACGCATGAGCAAAAAACAAACTCTGCTTTAGCTCAAACAGTAAGCAATATCTCATAAGCACGGCAAAATAAAGCAGCTTGATATTACACACACTGAACCATTTTATCCATCTGCTGCTAAACTGAATTTACATTTAGCTTAGCTCCTAATTCACCACATCACATTATATTCAGGGTAACTTGGTGATGATTCTTCAGTAAGTTAGGAGTGAAACTCAATGTAAATTCATTTTTACAGCACAAGTTAAATAATGCAATGTAAGTAATGTCAAGCTGCTTTATTTTGCTGTGCTTATGAGATATCTATAACTGTTTGAGCTAAAGCAAGATTTTTTTCCCCTTCACTAAAGATGTTTTGGGATAAATTTCACTTATTTATGTGTGTTACATCAACACAAAGCATTTACACTGTAATCATTATTATTTAATTAGACCTTTAGACATTAATCTAAAAATGTAACAATTATTCACAAGTCATTTACATAGAGATGGTGAGGTGGTTTTACATATCATGATATTTATCTATCTAACCTGTGTATCATGAGTCTAGTGTATCATCTTACCTCTAATATATATATACTGCTGTCATAAATTTTATGTTTAAGCACATTTCATTTTAACTTTAAATTAGAATTTATCTTATAACTTATGTTTAACATTTAGTAAATATTCAAAAATACATGTAACCTATAATAAGAATTATGACTCACCATCCAATTCCAGTTTTTCAAGCTTTTCCTTTCCTCTCATTGCTTCAGCGATTGCTACCCCACCTTCTTGACCTATTTCATTGAAACCTAAACAAAGTTCCTGGGAGAAAGAAAATTTCATGTTTTAGTCTAAAGTTTTAAAATACTTAAAAAAATTTCTACTAATTTTCCTCCCACCTAATTTAATTCTTACCTATCTCACCTACTGGCACAGATTTGAACTTCTAAATCATATTTTATGCATAAAATATTTCCTTTATTCGCAAGCAGCTAACTTCAGATTTTAGGACACAATAATTTCTTTACCTTAAAATTAATGGTCTTAACCAAGTAAACTTGAATTTTATAAATCAGAAAATTCTTAAAAACCAATTGAACAAGATTTCATAATATTAATTTTAAATCAAAATACTTTAGTTAAAGTAATTTAAAAAAAATGGTACCAAAAGGTATGAAGAAATTTCTTATTTTCGATTCAATATTATCAATTCCCACCATTAGTCTGATTAGTTTGTTATTATCGAATTACTTCAAACAGTCTCTTGTGCATTATCATCACTGAGTAATTATATAGTATTAGTTGTCTTTTCAGCAACATTTAACAACTGACAGGTCAAAGGAGATATCTGCCCTTCAAACTTACAATGGCTCAGTAACAGAGGGTTAAAAATTCTGGTTATGCCTGATTACATTGTTAAGTGATAAAGTTAGCTTATCATATCAAGAATACTTGTATAATGCAACCAATGTCATTTGAAGAGACAGAAGAAAGTAGTTTTAGAAGTACGATTTCTTCAAAAGTTAAACTGTCTGGCCACTTCAGATAACTCTTCTAAGAAACCATTCTAAATCAAAAGAAACTTTATTTATTTCTTATCTAGACTAATCTTTTAAACTTAGGTAAAAATCTGTTAAAATTAATAAATAATCACTACATTAAACTCAAAAGTAAACTGAACCAACATAAATGTTAAATATCCTTAATACTTTAACAAAGCTCCGAGTTATATATGATGCTTACTTTGAGTGCATACTGACTATCCATTAAAGCTTTTCCAAGAGCTTCAGCACCTTGAGTCTTGATAAGACAGTCCCCAAAGTTAATTACTTCAAGTCTTTGTAATGAACTAAGAGCCTAGAAAATTAAATTATCAAGGTAAATATAAAATATTTGCAATAACAATAATAAAAAAAAAGGTGTGAATGGGTTTTACTGAAAAAAGAAAGAAAACAGATACAGTAGTGTGCAAGTTTATTAGAACACTTCATATTTCCTGTAGTTTAAATTTGTCGTGTCTATGAAATAAATAAATAAAACCATGGTAGTTTACAATGTTGTAAAAACCATCAAAATTGGCAAATTATTCATTTTCTCATTTCATCCATGACATTAATATGCTACACAATTAATTTAAAATTTAAAGATTAAAGCAATACATAGCCAAAAATGATTAAGTTCAATAGAATTTCTGAACAGCGAGTTGTCTCATCTAAATTTAAGGCAGTGCAACAATGTTAAGTATGATTGCTTTTAGTGCCAGTCATAACATACAAACATTTAAGATTTTTAAGTTCCGAGTCTTTCGTGCAGACATCTTTTCTTTAAAAACTTTGTTCAGTACATTTAATATAATGCTGTGTACTATTAAAATGTCAAATCAAAGAGAATTAACACTCTTTGACAGCATCAGAGCCAAATCTTTTCATGATGCTAAATGGAGTTTAAGACATATTGTAAAAGACCTTGGCTGTTCATAAAGTACAGTTAAGTACAAACTGGACAACCACAAAGAAACCTAGCCCTATAGCATCAGACAAGGCAGGAGACAAGAGAAAAAAGCTCAATGAAAGAGATGTTTGATATCTAAAAACCCAATTCCCTGAAAAAACCAAAGGAAAAACTTTGAAAAACCTTGCTGATAACATTAACAAGTCACACACAGATAAAATTGCAAGGAAGAGTCTCACGAATGCTGCAGAAATGTGAGTTTTCGGGAAGAACAAAAGCAAGAAAACCCTTACTGCACAAAGAGAATATAGCAAAGAGGATAGCTTTTGTAAAAGAACATGTAGACTGGTCTTTGGAACAGTGGCACAAGGTGCTTTGGACAGACAAGCATAAATATGATCTGCAAATGGTATTGATTATCTTACAAATTGGTGGAATCAATTAGTATGTTTCACTAAATACCCAGTTCCATTTATCAGTATTTCATTATATTATGTTACAATAGCCTCACTTTAAGTCTACCATGGTTTTATTTGGCAAAACCAAAATAGATTTTAAATCTCCATGTACAACAATATACAATGCAGTATATACGTGTTTATTATTTACAGATTTAAAATAAAGAAATTTAAATGCATCACTATTTAATATATTCTCCTCATTCCTCACAAACACACACCTACATAATCATGTTCTCAATCTAACCTAACATTCTTATTCAAAGTCACTGAGGAAATCACATTCCTAACCATGTTTATATTTTAAGACAGTCTCAAATCAAGATGTAAATTTTTTTTATTCACATGCAAAATGTTTATTTCTTACACTGTAAAATATTAACTGAGGCTGTCTGACTTTCCAGATACATCTATCAATCAGTATTCCTTCATCTTCCGTTAGCATAACTTATGATATAAATAAGTGATTTAAGGGTTCTGATGTTGCTTGAAGTTTTAATTCTCAACCAGTCACGATTGTTATTTGATGTTTTATATTAAAAATTTATACATCTAAAATGCCAAGTAGTCCTGAGTGCTAAATCTAGATGGCAAGTCAGACAGCTTCAAGTACCTTTACTATTGTAAACAAGTAAGGTATGTTTATAAACCAAACTACATCAACTTCAATACTTAGAAACCCAATGGTTCATTAGATGAAATTCTCCATTATCCATCCAGCTAAACCTGTGGGAGCTGAAATTGCCTCAAACTGCATTTCTTAACTGATTGTGGGTTATTTACTGTGAAAATTTTATGTTTTATTTTATTAACTCATTTTTAAACAATGAAGGTGATAGAGTACAGTGAACAGATATGCATTACATTGTTTTTTTTTATGAGAAAGATTAATGAATGTTTGAACTTTACAGCTTGTAATATTTTCCAAATAAATTTTTCAGAATAAAATCTTGTGATTCTTTAGTCACTATAACAAGCATTGTAATGAATGCTGTTCAATAAAAAATTTATAGAATTAAATAAAAAATACTACTTTAGTCTACCTGTTAGATCAACGATCATGACAAAAAGCTATCAAAAGAAAGCAGCACAAACAGTACATCACTAGTCTTTGATAATATTCGAAAATATGTGTGTATATGTGTTTATATATTAAAAATACCAGATACATTTTTATTATTATGAATATAATATACAAAAAGTAGTATCAAATAATCTACAAAAATGTAAATGCACAACAAGTTCAACCATAATAAACTTCAAGTAATTACTCAATTTTTAAAGTTGTAATTTTCAGATTCTAAGACTTTTTATGTATACTCTAACACAAACTAGAGGAAAACAAGTTCACTCGCTTCAGCTTTTTATGTATACTCTAACACAAACTAGAGGAAAACAAGTTCATCCACTTCAGCTTTTTATGTATACTCTAACACAAACTAGAGGAAAACAAGTTCACCCACTTCAGCTTTTTATGTATACTCTAACACAAACTAGAGGAAAACAAGTTCACTCACTTCAGCTTTTTATGTATACTCTAACACAAACCAGAGGAAAACAAGTTCACTCACTTCAGCAAAAGCTTTTGCTCCCTTGTCTGTAAAAGTATTGTCATTCAAATTAATATGACGCAGATTAGAATTAGATGCTAAAGCACTGGCCAGGGCCCCTATTCCTTCATGGTATATTCCATTCTGTGGCATCTGTACCTCTTCCAAAGTTCCAAGAGCCTAAATAAAACATGAACATACAATACTAAAATGATTACAAGTTACCTAACTTATTATAAAACATACTTGTAATAAACACAGTGCACATAAAAGAGACAACCAGAATCTTTACTTCTACACAATGTGCACATACTAAAAGGTTAGTCAAAAATTATGCTACTTCTTTATCTAAAATCACTTTAGAAAACATGAATTCTACTATACACAGACCACAAAAAATATAAAAAAAGCTACAGACTTTTCATGATGGATGGTTGTTTACACAGTTTCAGCTGTTCCCTGAAATAACTGTGTTAAAAAAAGGAGAGGTAATCTTACTAATTGAGTAAAGTTTGGATGCATGCAGTGTTGCTTCTGTTTCCAAGAAAAAAGGGAGCCAAGAATGAAAAAAATTATTTCATGAAAATAAAAATTGCACAAGTTTATCATAAATCCAACTATAAAAAAAAGGAAAGAAAGCCATTACCACTGAAAGACCTCATCTCTAGGATGTTGTCTTATTAGTGGAAATCTCTTTACTTACACATCCTATTAGACAGTAGTTTGAAAAGATTTCCAAGCAGATGAAAACACCTCATCATAGACAGTTCACATTTCATTTCTGCTTACACACTAGCACAAGGGTAGTCATTTAATTTTTGTTATGGTCACTGTTTCTGTATTTACAGTAAGGTCAAAGTCCAGAGAATCATCTTTCACCATCTTTCCATTTAATTTTTGTTATGGTCACTGTTTCTATATTTACAGTAAGGTCAAAGTCCAGAGAATCATCTTTCACCATCTTTCCATTTATTTTTTGTTATGGTCACAGTTTCTATATTTACAGTAAGGTCAAAGTCCAGAGAATCATCTTTCACCATCTTTTCAAATGATTCTGTATTACAAATGAACATGTAGATAAGCCTAAACGAAAATACTGATAACTTTTAGCACCATTCTTTTGTTTATGTAATTACGAGATATTACACAAAAGTTTTGGTTTCAATTTCAGTAGATTTATTAACCAATTTTCAGTGTACCAATCTCACAATTGACAACAAAAATCCAAATAACATGTTTTAAAATTGTGAAAAACTCATAACACACAGATGACATTCCCAATTAATCTGTTAACTTAGCATTTGGAATGGAACTGATAAACAGACCTTGGGAAAGCCTTTGTTATTCTCTGATATTTCATAATATTTTTCCTTTTTTGTGTAATTAAACAATTTCATAGTACTCATTTAAGTTTATAGTTATATAAAAATATACATATAATATATAAATATATATATAATATAAAAATATACATATACTTTTGTAAAATACCTTGAAAACTGATGCAAAAGCTTTGGCTCCTTCATTTTCTAACCGGTTCCTTCCACAAACAAACACTTTCAGTGAGAAAGGTGTAGCAGTATTTTTACTTGCTTTATGAGAGTCCATTAGTGCCTGGGCTAGCATCTGAAACAGTAGGAATGCAAGTTTATTACAGAAACAATAATATGAATTTTCTATGATAACTTTCTAATGCTGTATACCAACAATACTTGTTTCTGAGTGAACCCGTATCCCATGACCTCTGTACTTGCATGCTCAATAAAAGTTCAACTTACAAGAACAAAATTATAAAAGAAAACCTTTAAACAAATTTTTACTTTTAGATAACACCCTCCATTCTATCCCCTAAAAGCACAATACAGATGCATTCTGCTAAGTTCTTTTACCATTGTACACTTGTTATTGAGTATTCTGTAAGATATATTTAAACCATTACGGATTTGTGCTGACTGGACTTTTCTCAGGACTTTCCAAAACTAACTGACACTTGTTTCTTAGTTTAGATATCTGAACAAACCGTATCCTCTGAATTACTTGAAAATGTCTTACAGTGTTTCCCAAACAACTCTTAATACACATAAATTTTCTTTTAAGTTTTCAGTCTAGAAATAAATTTGTACAGAATATGTAATGTTCAGTATTTAAAAGACAGGCTTTTATAAGATAATTTAAGGTTTGGGTTCTAAGTTGTTTTTTTATTTTATTATTTGGCTCCAGTTATTTTAAATCAATTGAAATTTGATGATTGGTCAGCCTCCAATATTAAGTTATTTAAAATAAAAATGTGTAGTTTATGCATTTAATAATTTCTCAATGTTTAATTAACATGTGTAAGTAATTTTTCTTTTATGGTTACTTATCCTTCATGGTTGTAACTTTATCAATTAACAAAAAATTTTAACAGTTCTTTTTCTTATTCTTTCTTTATATATGTGTGTGCGTGTATAATGAAGTTAAAAAAAACAATGCTTTCATTACTTAAACTAACAAATATCACCAAGACATGCTATGCTATATAGAAAATAACTATTCTCTGTTAACTGAGGTAACTCAAACTGTTAAACTATAAAATACCGTATCATCATTGAACACTTCTCCATAGTTTTTTCAATAACAATACGTATTTAATATTCGAATATGCTTCTAACTTGTTCCTACGTGGCCCACAAATGGAGTTACAATATAACCCACGTGCCAACTGGATCTCAACTTGTCTCCCAAAAGTGCTTTTTGTTTCAAAAATTATGACTAGACTGAAAGATTCGATGGATAATGAATATTTTTTGTGAGTGATATAAAATGATAAAAACCGTATAACCCAAGTGCTTCCGAAAGGTGGTACCTTTGAAAGCACTTGGGTTATGGGGTTTTTACCATTATATATTAAAACTTTTTGAACCTACGTGTTTTTCTGAGATCTTGCGAATGATATTTAATCTTAATTTTTATCACCCATTTGTGTTTGCTTAAAATTAAATATACGAAACTTCTGAAACAAATGAAAATTAAATAAACACTTAATTTTTAAAAGTTACACAACTTTATAAACTAACCTGAAGAATATATATATAGACACATAACATTTAGCCTAAGTTACAATTTGGCACACATTCAACAAAGCACTAAAAACATTCTTCACGTGAGGAGCCGGAGAAATATGATACTACGTGGTGCTTCTAATCATCACATGTTGTGTTTCATAATGAAGTGTGATTATTCAAATTCATTAATAAAGTTAGACTTCCTTTTGACACAATCTTTTAAACTAATGTAATCCCCCCCAACCCCACGCAAGATAATGTTTTTATCTGATGTACAAGTATAAGATTATTAATAACATAATCATAAGTAAATATTAATGCTATTGTCATATTTCTAGGTAATACATGACTGTTATAATTACATTTTAAGTGATTTACAACTGAAACATAGATGTAATCGATTACTTTATTAACTAATTCAGGATGTTTTTAGAACTGTTTAAAAATATTAAGGTCTGTGATCCATGACCATGCATTTTGACATGTAAAGTATACAATTGCCTTCAGACAAAAATATATAGTATATAGTATATATATCTGTTACAATATACGTTTACCAGTAAACTTCTATACCAATGTTCAAATTTTACATACCTTTCAGTATAGACGTATTCAGTTAATGTACCGAAATAACAAATCCACAGCAAGCGTTACATTTCCTGAACACTGCACAGCTCTTGAAACACCTTATTTTCTAACCAATTCTAATAAAAGAGTTAGCACACAGCATCACACACAAAGAGACCCAAAACTCAAGCGCTTTAGAATAGGTGACATGCTTCTAAATAAAAAATAAATAGTACCTTTCCGCCTTCAATACCAAGTCCATTGTTGTTTAGCTTCAATTCCTGAAGTGTGAAACAAGAAGAAGACTTGAGTAGAGGTACAATTCCAGGGACTCCAACCGGGCCAAAAGCATTATCACTGAGATCCAGTTCTACAAGGTAAGCTGGGGCAAGCATTATTCCAGCACTGAGATAATTCTACAAATGTTTAAGAATTTTATTTGGTTATGTATACAAATCTATTGCAATTTTAAAAGTAAAACAGATTAATTATAAGTCTTAAAATATTCACCTGTACAACCTAATAAATATTTACTTGATAAATTTGGTAAATATTATTCCACTGCTGGACTTTTTGTTATTAATACTAATATTAATTATGATGCAAAAATTGATGTCAATTATCTTACCTATAAATGTAAATCTAAAAACTACCTATTGTTACGGTTGTTTAATATTTATTTACTTTTCATTTTTGGAATATAAAACTTCCAACCTACCGTTTTAAGAATTCAAAATCTCTAAATAAGCCCAAGTTTAACTTATTTTTTACAATGTTATTCTAGTAAACACTAAAACCAATTAGACTCTTACAATTTCTTTATGATTTAAACTTTAAATATTTCTAGTTTTATTTGCCATAAGGTAGACTGATAATGATACAATGTATTTTTGTCTAAAGACAATAACTGTTTTCAAACTCTACTCATATTTTATCTTAATTGGAAACTTGGATCAAGTAATTTCTTTCTTACACCAAATAATGGCTTGATTATGTTTCTAACCTTTTTATTCACAAATAAAATTTTCAGGCTGATTAAAATGTTGATAATTATTTCATTTAGGAAAGAAAAAAAGAAACAACACGAAAATGAGGCTTATTACGGGAAATAAAAAACATTTTATTTAAGACATTTTCCAATTATAGCTTCATCAGATTAAAAAAAAATGCTATCTTAGTTTCCTGTTTTTATTTCTCCTTAATGGCAAAAAACACTCTCTAAATAGATGTTTCGACAATGTGTGAGCTGCCTTGTTAGTTTAGCATCAGAACATTAAATAATACTGATCAAGTCAAATTCACTGATGGGATAAATATTGTTTTAATAATTAGGTTAGAAAATTGTTGTTGCAAATTGTTTTATCCAACTTAATAAAAAAACATATATTAATGTTTTAATTTTCATAGGATCATTAAATCAGTACAAACTAACACTTTTAAGTATCCAAAATTCAATGTTTGCAGTAAAAACATTTCATTAATAACTAAAGATGTTAGACCTTCATAACACTTTTCATCACCAAGAACCTCATTCAGGAAGGTTTTAGCTGTTGGACATCTTGTCTTGAAAACTGATGACATTCCAAAAGAAAAAAAAAAACTCAAAAGCTTGCCGATACATAATCAAAACAAAATTCAAAGCAAGGTGTCCAGTAGTAAAAATCTTCCTGATTGTGCCCTCTTGCACCATGTCTCTCAAACAAAAATCTCATTTATGTATAAAACACTGACAAATATACCAACAACAAATAAACAAGATTAATATACCAGTGCTTCAGGTATCTCAGTCTTGAGTCTTCCTGTAAACATGTCCTTCCATAGTGCTCTCTACAATAAAAATAAAATAAGATTGATACCTTTTAAAATCAATTATGTGCAAATACCTTAGTCATGTATTTGTTTTTTTACATGACAAATATTTGTGCAATTTGATCAAGATAAATTTTTATTTATTTGAACTTGAATTTTTGTACATGACAAATCTTAATAAGAAAAGCTATAACGAAACTTTGCACATCAGTTGCTTATAGATACATTGATGATATTCTTTTACTTCATTAACAAAGTTTTATTGATACAAACAAACAAATTTTTAGAATTAAATTTCAAGCAGTTACTTATCTCTGAAATTCTGAAAGTGCCTTTCCTTCTTGAGTTTGAATTCATGCTTTCAACGAAATGCGACTAAAAATTTCTGAACGTCCTTTGTGCAGGGCATGCATCACCTTTCTATAATTCTTTACTCTTCCATATGGCTCAATGCACAAGTGTCAGTGAAACTTGTATAAGCTCTGCTTTTCTGCCATAATTTAGACATTACTGACATTCTTTACTCTTCCATATGGCTCAATGCACAAGTATCAGTGAAACTTATATAAGCTCTGCTTTTCTGCCATAATTTAGACATCACTGACAATTGCAGTCTCAATGAAATTTGTTGCAGGGGGATGGGAGAGAAGGTACTTCAGAAGTAACTACTTGTTTGAAATTCATTTTAATTCTAAAAATGTAAGACTTAAATCAGACAGGTTTACTTCTGATATACTGAAAGCCAGAACACCCACATTGAACTTATGAACATGAACACAGAAAAGTAACCAAAAATATAGAACTAAAGAGTATGACAATAATAATCAGAATACAAGAAATACTTAATCAAGCAGGGTTGGAGTAGAATTCAAAACCAAAAAATAATTTGCAGAATTAGAGTTGAGGAAGAAGAAATGAAATGAGCCAGACTTATAAAAAACAAAACAAAAACTGGATACATGGTGGAGCAGGTCAGCATGGGACAGTATGAAGAACTGGACAATACGACCAACTGATCTTGGCCAATACCAAAAAAAGAAGAGGGTAGGCAGAAAATAAGATATTGAGCAGGCACACATGAAAGTCAACCAATTAAAAGACAAGTACTTTGTAACACAGCCCAGTGGGTGAAAGTGTCAATAAAACATACATAAGAGTCTCGTGGAAATAAAAGCAATATCAATGACACCCTTAAGTAGAATATAAAGTTCAATATATAAAATATATAGCAAATCCGAGAGAAAAAGAAATGTAGTCAGGATCAAGGCTAGCATTGTACTAGAAAATCTAGCTCTGCATACTTTGTTGACATTTAGGTCTAAGAAATAATTGACGTTTTATCACAAGCAAAAGGAAATGTTAAATGTTGCACAGATTAAGTATCTACAAGACTTGGAATACCCATTTACAAAGACATTTATAAAACACAGCTGACAATGCACAAGTAAGGCTTTCAGCTAAGATACAGAAATTCCAATAGTAGTGGAAATAGTTGTATCAAAAAGAACATAGTAGCAAAGTTAATAACTTGACCATCAACAAGAAAATATAAATTATGGTGGGAAACCTGGGCTTATGTAAGAACCCTTCATGCTTGTGCAATAAGTTACATGGAAGGTGGGAATGTAGAGAATTATGGGTAAATGACACATGCCCTGTAATGCAAAAAGGACATTCGAAAACTTTTAGTCACATATTTCTGACAGAACGAATTAAAACTCAACAAGGAAAGTTTTCGGTATTTTAGAGGTAAGTCTACCTGATTTGAAATATTTATTTTAATTTAATATTGTTCTTTTATTATAAAGATGATTTTCCATTGTTAGCATAGTATGTGAATTTAGGCCTAACTTAAATGTTCTAAGCAGGCCAAACCTATTGAGATATTATGCTTATGGGCAAAAACAGTGTTAACAACAAAGGCACCTAACAAATGAAACAATGTATCATTGTCTTTAAAAGTAACAGCATAATAGCAACATATATTATTAGCTGTACTCATTGCTGGATTTATTCTTGGTTTTGATTTTTGAAGATAAATTGTTTTAAGTTGAAGTTTGTTAATTTTTATAAAAAAATAGCATTTTTTTTCAAGTACATCCATTCAGAATAATAATAAAATATCTATTTCATGAATTAAATTTCAATTTACTTCATCAGTGCAGACTGTAATTAGTAGATAAATAAACTATTTTATTTTTTATGACTCTTCATTCCTTTATAAGCAAGACAAGATCACAAACGTTTTCATCAACCTACTCCAAGCTATATTACCAAAATATATTTGAGAGGAGGGTCCCTAGAAAAAAATTCTTAAATTCCAATTTAGTTTATAAATCATAAGTAACTGACCAGTGTAATGTGGATTTATAGATCTTTATTAGAGCTAAAGATATGAAATATATAGCAGACTGTTTTCCAAATATAATTTATCAAAAAAAAATTACAGTCTGTGTTGCATGCAATTAATAAAAAATATTCTTATATTCAAATATACAGAAAATACTAACATTATCTTGAGGATTGATATTTTTACTGCATGCTAATGTAACATAGCTAAATAATGGTAAAAATGTTTATCATGTATAACCAATACACCCAATGGTTGAAGTATAACTCTAATAAATGCACTTGTGTTATTATTGCACAGCTCAAAATTATATGCTCTAATTATTAATGTATTGCTGAACATTTTTTGGGAATGATTTTGGTAATAATAAAAAACCTTACAAGTTCAGATAACTATATATGATGTGTTTACATTATTTAAAGACTTTTTGTTCCAAAGACTAAATCATCTTTATTTGATGTGACCACCATTTTTCATCTACATTTTATAAAAGAAACAATCTGGTAATATGAGAGAAAGAATATGATACTTACAATTGAAAACACCCACTTGATGTCCATTTAAAATATTACAGAGATACAATTCTCTTGGAAGAAGAAAATATGTTTGACCTACAATTACCAACTTCCTGAATTAATAGATTAAAATAATGTCAGGTCAATCATCCTCGAAACCAAAGGTTCATGGATTTTGATGCAGTTCAGTATGGATGTTAGAGCCATAGAGATGTAATATTTTACAAGTTCACATCTCTACCAAATGGTTTTTTATGTGAGAAATCACTAAATATTTGACCTGAAATGGCTCCCAGATGAGACCAATGACTTAAAAATATCGTTTCTAAAGCTATGGTAAGCTTTTTGCATGCTTTAGCCAAATATGGTATATTTTCTTGCATTTAGAATTTTGACCTTTGATCTCACTTGGACTATCAGCCATGACAGGGATGGCAAAATCAAAACTGGATACTGAAGTTCACACTATCATTTTAATTTCTACCAAAAATCAGCCTTTAATCACAAGGTATTCAGTCATTCCACTGTGTCATTGTATTTTCTTGGGTGATAAATTTAGAAATGACTAGAAAGGCAAAACAACTTGCTCAACTTGTGCTTTTAATAATGTAATAACACCGGTACAGCATTAATAGTTATAATTCATACCCATAGTGGAAAGGCTGATATGATGAGGTAGGTTTAAATAAATGGCAAAACTTGCAACATTAATGCAATCTATGCTGACTCAAGTGACGACTGTCATGAGCACAAGAGCTAGTAAGTTAATTTATTAATCAAAATTACATTTAAGCAATTAATGTCACAAAAATAATTAGCTGATTGACATTAGTGTTTTCAGTTATTCCAACCACCATTTAACTGAAATTATGACTAAATCAATTGTCATGAAAATAATCAACTGATAAAAATTGTGATTAAACTGATTGTCACAAAAATAACACAGGCCTGCGATGGTTTTATCATCTTGAAATTTTTAGATGTTCTACAGTAATTCCTGTACGCTGGATTTGAAAATGATATCCATTTTTCTCCATCACGTACAGATTTTTCACAAAATGTCATGATGAATAACGTAAAAGAAAGACCACAGCACGTAATTTTGAGACTTAAAGATGTAATTTTCACACAAGAAAATCAGGATGAATGAGGATGCATATTCATTTGACATCAATGTTCTTCCCTTTTCTTCAGTTTGTTTGTATTTCTGTTAACAAACATAATAATAAAAAATGTTCATTGTGATAAATGAAATAACTTGATCTAAGTAAGTTTTTTTTCTTCCCGATTTGTAAAAAATCCTTACGTGATAGAAAAAAAAAAGTATTATTTTTGAAATCTGCGTATATGGATTATGGCAAATCCGTTATTAAAACCAAAACAACTTTTATGAAAATTAAATTTGCAGGCCTGTGTAATCAACTAATCATCATTTATAGATCAGATCACCTGATGAATTATAAGATATACAATTTACAAAAAAATTAGTGTTAGAATGACCAACATTATAATTGGTGATTATTCAATCATTTTACTCCATTAATTGTATTCATTACTTTCAACATCAATAGATAATTTTTGTATACCCTACCTGTTAAGTTACCTACTGCCAAAAATAACAGGTGGAATGAAAAAAAATCGAGGCCTATCTTTCAATCAAGACTTCTCATATTATCAAAAACAACTATGGTTCCTTTCTTTAGCAAACTCATTTAAAAATCAGAACAGTTTATTAATTCATAAATAAAATACACACACTGAAAAATTTACTTTAATTTTAAAATATAATAAATGCAACAACAATAAAAACGTTTCCTAAGGTACTAAGTTGTCTTTCACCAAAAAATTAACATAAAATCTCTCTAGCTCCCATTATCATTAGTTTTGTATTTTACCAGCTCATTAATAATTTATTCATATACTATACCTGTACATTATTTTACCTACTTCAGAAATAGAGGTTTGGGAAAACTGTACAGATGCTTCACAAATCCAGAAATTTATCTTGTTTTAATTCTAACAATTTTATGAAAGTAGCTCATACCCTTACAAAATGAACAAAAGTTTACATAATTATTACATAAAAAAACAACAGCAAATAATGAATTCATTCAAATTGAGCATTAATTGTATTTTGTAAGAACTATAACCAAATTTTTATTAAATTATTTGAACAAATTCATTGAAAAACATGATGTAAAATGCCTGTTAAATAACAGTACCTTAAAGTTGGGCTGACCCTCTAGTGCCTTTCCAATGGCTTTAGCCGCACCTGTTCCAACAGTGTTTCCTTCTAGACACAGAACTGTCATACCTTTGCAGTTTTTAATAGCTTCAACTACTTCTTTAGCTACAGAAATATATATATATATATATATATATATATATAATAGAGAGAGAGAGGGTGAGATATACAATTTCTGTGATAATCAAAGGTAGCCTACTTAACTGTTTTGAAAAAAAACTTTTTTTAAAGTTTCAATTTCCTAAAATACCACAGTATTTAATGCTTGAAATTTTGATACATATTTTGCCAGACAGCAATCTTGTTTTAGAAAAGTTTATGGTCAGCAGTTCAGGCATAATATAAACTTGTTGAATTGGTAATTAAGTCTAGTTTTTGAATTATTTCAATATGCTTACGATGAGAAATTAAAATATACCTTTATAATTGTAAACTTATTCATTTAAACCTGCCATGAAAAGGCATTTCTTAAAGCTTTTCGCCATTGCTCCTTCCTACTAAATAAAAACATTTCATGTTGATAAAATCAGATCAAGTCAAGAATTACATCATAAAAAAGTAATCTGTGAATTTACTTTCAGATGTGATATTGACTAGACTTGTATAACGAATGCTATGTGTAACTTGCTAACATTATGAAAAAACCTAATATAAAAACAACATAAAATCCAAAGACAACAATACAATTGTTGATCCATCTAGTCCTATTCAATAGTAAATTAAAAGCAATTCATTACATCATACAGAAAACATATATGTCAAGATATTAAAATTAAGACTTTGCAGTTGAACTGTTAGATCAGTTTTCATTTCACTTGATTTGTGCAAGTTATTCAGAATAAGTAAACTGAAAAATTTTCAAAAGTACACTGGTACAACTCAAAATGACTGGTCTACAATTCTTCATCTAAAATCTTACCATGGTGTATCTACTTCATGGTCTAGGAATCATCATGAGAAATTTCCAATTTAGCAGTTGCTAGTTCCAATAATTTTATGGAAGAATGTACGGAATACCCTTTTACATTATTATTGGTAGAATATGTTCAAATGAATTAACTTCAAGTATTTGATTAATATATTACTAAATAAAGAATATTTATTCCAGTATTTTTTATTACATTAAGATACCAAACTTGGTTATAAATTATTTTTCCACTAAAGTTACATGAAATTTCAGATTGTCTTTCATTCCAACATTTACAGTAATTTATTTATGCATACATAATCAGTCAACACCATGAGCTATGAAAGTGCACATCAGAGGACCTACATTTTAAAACACAGCTAAGACCATTGCAGAAAGATAAATTTACATATAGTATGTAAAGGTACAGTATCTCAAGTTATAGCTAAATCTAACTTAGTGTTACTGTTAGGATAAAATTCATATCCATGTTTCTTACATTTACATCATTTACCTGCATTGACATTATCAGGAAGAGAAAAGGCTAAGCAAAGATAAAAACAACTTTAAAATTATAAATGAGAATTCCTCAAATAATCATTTCTCTTTCTATTTTAAGTTGCACTTTACTTTAGAAGAAATATACACAAATACATTTAAAACCTAATTTCATAAACTGAACATTAAAGTATACAATTAGAAAGGTTTAGGAGCAAGTTTTATGCTACATTATTTTGGGCAATAAATAGTCATATGATGCATTTTCCCATGAACACAAAAATTGTAATTTCAAAACAGTCAATACTTCTGTTTCATTCAAAATGATAAGGCAGTGCCTACTGACTCAATGTAGATGATACATGTAACTATATTAACTGAATGTGCATAGGATTGTTCCATATTGGAGAAAGAATGTTGACCAGGAAGCTTTTAGTAAAATGTAAAACTAAAAGTCTGTTATACATATAAAATCAGATGTGTTACCAAAAGTATTTGTACTTAAGAAAAATCTGTGAACTGCTGACATCAGTCTGACTCGTACTCTGACAAGTCAAAACAAGGTGATGTTCCTGCAAAGGATTAAAAACTTTTGTCCATTGTACACTTAGCATATTGCACATGCCTCCAAAATGCATATTTAGTAGTCTACATTTTTACAGTATTCCAGTATACTGTACCTGGTAATTACTCTCTTCTATCAAGAACAATCGCTAAACCTACACTGTAACTTGTAGAGTAAAATTAATACGTATTTGATAACTCTGGACATCAAATACTTGTGTTCTGTAAAATGTCGTGGCATGCGTACTTTGAACCCCACCCGTGCACATGCTACGTAGGGTTAAAAAACACTGGAATAAATATTATACCAAATTACTTTGTAACAATTACGTTAGTATTATTATCAGCATTAAACTACAATTCTGCAAACTTCTGACATTACAACTTACTCTAAACCTTAAACGTTAATTTCCTTTTATTACAGTTAGTCAGTGTTACTTAGTGTTAGTGTTACAGTTACAAATATAGCCAGCAATAAATTACATTAGTAATAAAATATTTATGCTGCGATTTACTTCACAGCACATACCTAACGAAGTATATAAGTAACTACACTTTCTAAAATCACGTTAAACTCAAAGTTACCGTCAGATTCGCTGTTTAGTTTCAGTCCTTTTCCTGCAAAATTAACTTCTCTTTCTTCATCAGTAACGGCTATATCCACGGAGGTGTCTGCAAGCTTTGAAACGATATTCTCAATTTCTTTGGCAGTCATGTTTATTATTAATATATAATTATTGCTGTCTCAAGTACTCTTTGTGTTATAACCTATTAAATTAAAGCTGTTGATGGAACAATATCGCTAAACTAAAGTTTAAACACAAAGCCACGAGAGAAAGGCGCAATCTCCGCACCAAAATAAACCATTCAAAATACGATTACGCCCTCTATAATTACACACTTATTACTTTAAATATTACAGAGTAATCCACATTACATTTGACACAACCACGAATCCTTTTGCAGTAATCTAAATGTCAATAGCAGTAACTCTGCTATTTACCATTAAGTTTTAATATACATACACACACATATATGCAACATTCCGATCTACATACAATATATCGGACAAAATGTTAGTCTTCTAAAGAATTAACTCAGATCGTTCAAAATGTGAAATAGACCTCTTATTTACATGCTTTTGCAGATGTCTATTTTGGAAAAATGAGATGAGAACAATAAATTAACTTTATGGAAAATATATTTTATTTTGAAATAAAAATCTTTCTATTCATAGGGCTTTAATCAACAATTCTAAAATGTATAATCAGATAACTTAATTTTTGATGCATACTGGAGGAATTGAGGCATTTTGGCAAAAAAAAAAAGTTTGTAAAACACGATCTTTACTCCTCAGGTAATAAAGAAAAACATTTTATTTAAACTAATATCCCGCCACTGCGGCTTCAACAAGACTAGAAGATAAAACTGTAATGGCTGAAATAAAAAAGTTTTTCAATTATCATCTGGAAAGCAAATGTTGTTTTTTACTAACTATATTGCAAAAATGCTTATAATTCAAGGAAATTAAATTGTATCAGATTTTTTAATATATTTTTTAATAAACGAAAATAAAGGAGGGACAAATGCCTTAAAATAATATTTGAATTAATTTTAAAAATCTATGTATTTTTTTGGATACTATATTTTATCCTCTATATAAATATAATAGTATTGTCTGTTGTATGTTCATGTATCTACTTCGTAGGGTGTGGGTGAATCTTCACCAAATTTGGTAAGAAGGTTCATTGGGTCCATGAGAAGATACATACAAATTTACAGTTTTGAATTTTGCGGTTTTTATGGGTGTTTTTTACCACTACTTCGCCCTCTGTTGATGGATCTTCACCATATTTAGCATGAAGGTTTGTTGGTTCCATGCGGAGATACATGCAAATTTGTGGTTTTACATTTTTGTTTTGCAGTCTTTATGGGAGTTTTTGTATATTTTACCACTACTTCGCCTCTGTTAATGAATCTTCACCAAATTTCGTATGGAAGTTTGTTGGGTCCATGCGGAGATACATGAAAACTTATAGTTTCACATTTTGTATTTTGCAGTTTTTATGAGCATTTTTGCACATTTTACAATTACATATAAGGGAAACAACTTTTCATATCCTAAGATAACCTTTCATTAATCATGAATTTACATAACTTCCGTCCAGGGGAAGGGTACTCCAACTACTAATAGAAATAATATAGTTTCCTTTTACATAAGTAGCACATATAAACTTAAAATATCTAAAATTACAACTTTTCAAAATATTTTACCACGCGTTTATTAACATGCGTGCAAAATACTTAATTGCTGATCTTATAAAATTTAAATTCAACTGTAATTCCTTAACAATATTTGTTGCTACTAGTTTGTTTGTTTTGAAGTTGCAACAGAAAATGAGTTCATTAGTCTTATCCTTAAAGGAACCGGGAAGGAGCCAATATTCAGTCTATTTGAATTACAAGATACATGCTGGCACAGCGGTATGTCTGCGGACTTACAATGCTAGAATCCGGGTTTCGATACCCGTGGTGGGCAGAGCACAGATAGCCCATTGTGTAGCTTTGTGCTTAATTATAAACAAACAAACAAATACAAGATATATATATATATATATAAGCATGCAAGAGGCAAACGGCATGACTAGAGTAAGAACACTAGAAAACGATCGAAATAATTTATCCATAACAAAACTGCTGATATTGATTTCATAAAGCCACGCGGGTCAATGAGTCCGATCGAAACAGTACTAAAAATATCAGAAACTTTACCATTGCTCAAGATGTAGATAACATTGATGATGATATTCACATTTTATTCAGTGCAGTGGACTCTTAAATGAAGTATATATTACTCTTAGATCCCAAGTTATTGGATTTTTCTGGTAAATTTGTAGTTGGCAATTTGTTACCATAGTAACCATGGTCAAACAAGGATGCAAAGGTGGCAACATACATTTTCTGACATTAAACAACTTCAACTAGGTTACTCGCTTTCAACAACGCCTTACGGCATTCGCTTTGGCCCATGACTATGTCGAATTTTCAGAAATTCGTAGTGAACTGAATATACATAGATGTTAAGTATATTGCCCTTGGTGCCATGGTTCTCATTTGCAGTAGTACGATGGTGGGACAGCAGTAAGTCTACGGATTTGCAACGTTAAAATCAGGGATTTGATTCTCCTCGGTGGACACAACAGATAGCCCAATGTGGCTTTGGTATAAAAACACATACACACTCATTTGCAGTGACATGTTTCTATATTATTATATACAACTATCTTTATAACATGTGACTAGCTTTCTCTACAGAATGTTTTACTCTTTTATTGAGTCTGGTTTATAATAAAACAAAAAAAAGTTCTGTACATTTAATAATAGAATTGAAAAATCCTGAAAAATATTCATAGACTTAAGAGGTTGTCATGATATTAAACACTGTTTAGTGTAGATATTAATTTATTTATTTTGTGAGTGTCTATTTTATGATTGTTTAGTTTTGTTCATAACAAGAAAGTTAGAAGCAATTATCTTAAAGTAAATGTTGTAACAAGTTTAGTTACGTAAATTGGTGTGAGTCGTACGTTGTGTTTATAACTCGTTGATGTAAAGATTATAGAACGTGGCGTGAAATTGACTGATGCCGAGGGTATAGCGAGCAGACGAGAAGTAATGTAAAGTTATGAGAAAGAATTCAACCAAAGAAAAGTTAAAAGCAAAGTTAATCGTCGT